ATACTAAGGGGAGGGCAAGACAACCATGGCTGAGAAGAGAAGTCAGGGACAACATAAAAGCAAAAGAATATATAAACAATGTAGTGAAGATTAGTGGAAAGCCAGAGGTTTAGAAAGCCTTTAAAAACCAACAGAAGACAACTAAAAACTACAATAAGATGTCAGAAGATGAAATATGACGATAGTAATATAATAAAGCTAGTAATATAAAAGAAGATTGTAAGAGCTTTTTTAGACATATAAAAGGTAAGAGAGAGGCAAGAATGGACATTGGACCATGGAAAAATGAGGCTGGAGAAGTAGTAATGGGGAACAAAGAAATGGGAGAGGAACTGAATAGGTTCTTTGCACCAGTTTTCACCTAGAAGAGACCAGAGCATACCAGAACTTCAAGAGAGTCAGGGGCAGGTGAGCGTACTGGCCATTTTTAAGGGAGAAGGTACTGCAGAAGCTAAATGGTCTAAAGGGGGATAAATGACCTGGACAGAAAGGACTACTCCCCCAGGGTTCTGAAGGAGATAGCTGAGGAGATTGTAGAGGCATTGAGTGGTATTCTTTCAGAAATAACTAGAGTCAGGGAGATTCCCAGAGGATGGGAAAGTGGCTAATGTAACAACTCTGTTTATAAAGGGAGGGAGACAGAAGAGAGGAGACTATAGCCAGGTAGCCTGACCTCAGTCCTTGGTAAGATTTTAGAGTTCATCTTTAAGGATGAAATTGTAGAATACTTGGAAGTGAATGGTAAAATAGGGCGGAGTCAGCACAGCCTAGTAAAGGGAAGGTCATGGTTGACAGATCTGTTAGAATTCTTTGAGGAGGTAATGAGCAAGTAAGACACAGGAGAGCCAGTGGATATGATCTTTTTGGATTTCCAGAGGCCTTTGAACGATGTGCCATGCAGGAGGCTGCTAAACAAGGTAAGAGCCCATAATGTTACAGGCAAGATACAGGCATGGATAGAGGATTGGCTGACTGGCAGAAGGCAGAGAATAGGGATAAAGGGGTCTTTTTCAAGATGGCAGTGAGCGACTAGTGGAGTTACACAGGGGTATGTTTTGGCACCAGAACTCTTCATGTTTAGATTAGCAATCTGACAAAGGAATTGATGGCATTGTTATTAAGTTTGCAGATGACACTAAGATAGAAGCACAAGTAGTGTTGAGGAAGCAGAGAATTCGACAGGCTAGGAGAGTGTGCAAAGAAGTGGAAGATGAAATACAGTATGAGCATGTGTGAGGTTATGCACTTTGATAGGAAGAATAGAGGCGTAGATAATTTTCTAAATGGGAAAGGGCTTCGGAAATTTGAAGCACAAAAGGGACTTGGGAAGCCTAGTTCAGGATTTTCTTATCGTTAACATCGAGATTCAGTTGGTGGTTACGAAGGCAAATGCAATGTTAGCATTCACTTCAAGAGGGCTAAAATACAAGGGCAGGGATGTACATCTAGGAATATATAATATAGTCACTTTTCTGTCCAACACAACCATGCTGATCAGCTTTCCTAAACTGAACTATTCCCATTTTCTTGGGTTTAACCCATATCCCTCTAGACCTTTCCTATTTATGTATCTGTCCAAACGTCTTTTAAATGTTGTAATTGTTCCCATCTCTACTACTTCCTCTAGCAGCTCATTCCATAACTGCACCAGCCACTGCTTGAAAAAGATAACCCTCGGGTCCTTTTTAATCTTTCCCTTCTCACCTTAAATTTCTGCCCTCTAGTTTTGGGCTCCCCTACCTTTGAAAAAATGCCTTGGCTATTCACCTTATCTATGCCCATCATGATTTTATAAACCTCTATAAGGTCACCCCTCAGCCTCCAAGGTTCCAGGGAAAAATGTCCCAGCCTATCCAGCCTCTCCTTATAATTCAAACCCTCCAGTCCTGGAAACATCTTTTGCGAGCAGTGTTCAGCTCCGCATCTAAGGATGTGCTGGCATTGGAGGGGTCTAGAGAAGGTTCATAAGAGTGATCCCAGGGATGAAGGGCTTTTCTATGAGAAGCTGTACTTGATGAAGTTTAGAAGGATGAGATCCCCTCTCTCATCGAAACTTACAGACCACTGAGAGGCCTGGATAGAATGGACACAGAGAAGATGTTTCCACTAGAAGAAGAGACTGGGACCCAAGCCATAGCCTCAGAGTGAAGGGACAACCCTTTAGAACTGAGATGAGGAATTTCTTCAGCCAGAAGGTGGTGAATCTATGTGATTTATTGCTGCAGAGGGTTGTGGAGACCAGGTCATTCAGTGTATTTAAGATAGAGATGGATAGGATCTTGATTAGGAAGAGAATCAAAAGTTACAGGGAGAAGGCAGGAGAATGGGGCTGATAAACATATGTCATGTTCAAACAGCAGGGTAAACTCAATTGGCCAAATGGCCCAATTCTACTCCTACACCTTATGGCTTTACAGTACTGATGATCACAAGTGAGTTGTACATTGATGAAATGGAAACCTATTCTGTTGATGAAATCAGCTGCATTATGAAATGGAGCTCTCAGTTCAACATCTGTACAGTCTACAACTCCCTACTCCTGGGGGAGGCCAGCTGTATTGGCCAAGCCAACTGCTCGGTCTATAGCACGGACCTCTTCACAGGAGCATGAGAGAAAGTGGTGTGATCTGGCACGAGCTACATCAATAACAGCCTTGATACAATTGCAGGGTGAGGACTGAGGGATCCCACACAGGTTCCCAGTTGGAAGCAGCCAGCTGCATGCAAAATCTGGAGCAGCTGTCACCTTGACGGCCCGGGCAGGATGACACTTCAGGTCGCAGGTCCAGCTCCAGTGAAATACACACTCTGTGACAGTGTTCCAGGCTATTCTCAGTCTGCAGCAGCAATAAACCTCATTCATCTGGAAGAAACAGCATCAAAAACAATAGACTCTGAGCCTCCTGTACGTTTTCCTGACAAGATTTGAGAATATTGTAAAACAAAGTGTAAGAAATTAAACTGTCTATCCAGCAATGGATTTTGTGATTTCTTCAATTTCTTCGGATGGCGCTAATTTGTACTGTCTGTACATTATGACTGGAGGTTTCTCACTATGAATCTGTCATGGTTATGTAGGGAATACTGTATGATCTCAGTCAGTTCTGTCACTGGAAGTACCACTCTCGGAACTACTTCTGATAAGCTCACCTTAACAGGCATTCCTCTAGCAAGAGCCAGTCCGTCTGTATCTGACAATGTCGTGACAAAACATTAACCAATAAATAACTTGCAAAACCACTGTAATGCCATATTTGATGTTCTACCTCATGTTCTGCCTGAAACTATGAGAAACTGGCAATTATCTCAATCAACATGTTTCCTTAGAACTCGGTGGTACCACACAAAAGACAGTTTGAACTGCTTTAGTCTCCAGTTGCACTGTATGGGGCTTATGTCTGCCCACATAATGTCTTAAAGCTGCAACATTATAGTAAGATTCTGTCTGGAATTCCATTTAGTGTAACAGTAAGAAAAATGCAGTGTGCTGCACAATGCAGGAGTATTTCCAGAAAAGTAGATAGTTAGTTTGCATTCATTTTAGCAGCTCCTTCCACTATATGTAACCTCCTTTCAAAAAAACATTTTACAAATGATTATTATTCCAAAGTTCTTGCAGCTAGGAGGGCATCAGGATGACATATCCCAGGTAGACAGAGGGTGGGGGACTTGGGGGGCAGGGTGGTGGGGGCGGTGGGGGTGGGGTGGTCAGCTTTGCCAGGGCTCCACTCTTCCCCTTCCACTAATAATCTAACAGTTGAAAGGAGGATTGTGCATTTCTGGCATTTCTCTTTTCCTGACTTCACAAAAAGAGACAGGGCTGATGGAAGAACATTCCTTAACATCCCTGTTGGTTGTCAGCTGATAGTATCCCAGCTCACATTTTTCAGACCATGTGGTCCTAACATTTGCTTACTGACAATCGCAACATGTGAGAAATCCACTGTTCAAAAATCCACTACTTGACCAGGAGACACCCTCTTTGGTTCCAACATTCCTGTCTACCCACAGACAGGGAACACTATAAGCGATGTGGATGTCCATTTTATTTATGTTAATGATTCCAATCATGGCATTTGGGATGAAATCAACCCAGAGTAGCAACCAACAATCCCACAATTTTGGCAGAAACATGGTGCTTAATGAATGTAGGCACCATTATCATCACTACTATTTTTCCCTCTTTTTCATCTAGCAACCTTACAAATACTCTGCTATTATAAGTGCGTGATTTCATTGCAGGGTGATTTGCAGTCAGATTCTCCCAACATAGAGCGATGTTTGAGAGAACTGGACACAAAATCTTTAACACGTTCCATCCATTTATACAAATGCTCCCTCCCCCTCAATTACTTGGTTAATTATCCCCCTGCAAGCACCTCAGATATATTTATATCAAATAACTTGTTTGTTATCTTTCATCAAGTGTTCATTTGCTAAAAATATGCAATTTTAAGGCCACTCTATCTAGTTAAAAAGTCTTTACGTCTTATATCAGTCAGATACATCCAAAGGACATAGGACATCTTATAGCGAGCATTATCAAACACGCACATTAAACCACACCCTCAAAAAGATTAAATTCACAAATAGGAATTAATCACAATCCTCAAAAAAACAAATGGAAGTAAACCTTTGAAACTTAGAACAAACCTTCAATTTGTTCATTTAATTGCCCACTTCCTCCCTCATCACCAACATTCTGCAATCATTTTAGGAACTTCTGCTAAAGAGACGTCAATTGTCAAGCTCCTGGTCATACTGCCTCAGAGGGCCGTCACTGATCCTTGCGTCCCAGGCTCGAGCATTTTGCCCCCATCCTTAAACGTAGATCTGTGCAGTGATATCTCAGTTTGTAACCTACATGGTGTAATACATCGTGTACAGAAACACATGAACCAACCAACTGAATGAAATCATTAAATCGCTTTGAAGAATATATCACGCACTCACTAACAAACCTCTTAACTATTTCATACCGTTGCATTAAAAATGCTTTCTCACTTACTTGGACTAATGCTTCGTCTGATGGGGGAAGGACTACGGCTTCGAGAAGACTGTAAAAACACGAGACAAAATGTAAGCTCTCAATCTTGCAGCGACAAAACAACCGTTCACTTTCACTGCACAAAACAAGAAACGAATAAAGAAAACACAAGGAGCACAGTCAAGAAGACATGATCATTAAACCCACGCATAGCAACTCAAAATCAAGGCAAAGGACTTATTACCATTTTCATTGATTCTGGTGGATCTTCCTCACAGATGTTGGGTGAACCACAATAACAAGTTCACCCAAAATCAATGAACGTTATTAATTTATGTTGGGTGCTATGGATGGGCCTGACAACTAAAAGAGGCCTCCATATTTGATGTGACATTACTAAAACTTCCATCAAAATATTAGAGCTAGGAGTATTCTCTGGTTCCATCATTTTCCTGAAATGGTTATCTCAAGGATTATATCAACAATGCAAATTAAAGCCCGAAAACAATTGAATAGCTGATGGTCCAAGTAATTTGCATTAACACTCATCCCCTGTGGGTATTCTACTTCCAAGGTGGAGTTCTCTGCCTTTTCAACAACTACGGTCTTGATTTTGAGAGGTTTTTTTTCCCTGGAGGCATCGAGCCAAGCAAGTGCAGGTCACAAAATTTTATGCATAACGTTTTGCAGTTCATGAGATTACCAGCTTCTTAGCAACTGTGCTGATGGCCAATGCAAGCATCACTAAGGCTCCCTTAATCATTTTAAAGACCTCAATTCAATCATCCTTCAACAACATAAACTCAGGGGAATGCAAACCAAATTTATATACCTTCTCACAATTTAACTCTAAGCTATTTTGGTGAATCTACATCAAAACTAATACATTCTTCCTATCTTCTGCAAAAGCCTTGTATATATGTGTTTGTTCTGAATGAAATATTGGACAGCCCATAGATATTATGTGGCATCCTTCAATCCTATTGATATATTGATTTGGATTCTGTCAGGTCAATGGGATCCCTCCCAACAGTCAGAGAACGAGTTGAGAACCACCGTCAGTTCCGTGGGGAAGACCCAATGGAATAAAGTGCCATTCAGACACAAACAACTACCATCTGATCTTCCTCAAGATTCAGATCCTTCCCTGGGGTATGTTCTGCTCATCAGGAGCTGCCAGCCAATCAGAGGCTCACAGTTTATCATGCCTTAGTGTCAGTAGGATAGGTGGCTGACTGCAGCACTGTCGCAACTTGCATTTTAAACATTAGCACTTTAAAAGTAACAAATGGGTTTTGTCTGTTTGTTAAAATGGGTTTATTGATTAACTTGTCAACATTTCTGGAGCAAAGATTTCTTTTTAAACCATTATGAGACAGGGAGTCCCAGGATGATAATGGGAATTTGTTTGCACTGAGAGAGTTTTATGCTCAAACAGAATAAACATTGAGGAGTATTAGCTTGCTTTCAGGTTAGAAGAGTCAGAAATTGTTTTTTGTTTTCTCAGGGGTAAGATCCGTGGCTTGGATAGTATTTAGTTTCAGTATGCAGAAGTCCTGGTTGGAGTTAATACGGTGGCTCAGTGGTTAACACTGCTGCCACAGTGCCAGGGTCCTGGGTTCGATTCCACCCTCGGGCAACTGTCTGTGTGGAGTTGGCACATTCTCCCCGTGTCTGTGTGGGTTTCCTCTGGGTGCTCTGGTTTCCTCCCACAGTCCAAAGATATGCAGGCTAGTTGGATTGGCCATGCTAAATTGCCCATAGTGTTCAGGGATGTGTAGATTAGGTGGGTTATTGGGGGATGGGTCTGGGTGGGATGCTATGAGGGTCAGTATGGACTTGTATGATCTATGAAAACTATTCTCCAGAAGAAAGGAGAAGTTTGGAAACAGTTTACCTTGGTGTATGGTTTCAGTATGAAAGTCCAGATGATAAGTGTTTGGGTTAGCACTAGAAGTTGACAAAGTCTAAGCTCAGTTGTGTGAAAAATCAAGGTAGAGGTTACCACACTCTGGTGACAGGGGATTAAAAGAAACAGTTAAGTCAAACCCATGGGTATGATGGAGAAGGGATTCTCTGTGGTGTTTAAGTATTTTAAACGATGGTGCTGGAATAAATGAGAATGTTTCAAAATCTTTCAATGGTGTTATATGTAAATAACTTGGTTATTTTCATTTCTTTTGTGTAATATATTTCTGTTTTATTGTTAAAACCGAATCTGCAGCATTCTACCATGTATGCATGTGTATGTTTCAGCGAAATATCACTGTTTTGAATAAAAACAAAATAAAACATGATCTATCAAGCTAGATATCAATCTGAAATCTGACTTTTCCAGTAATAAAATCAGCTGGGAACATAACAGTACTTTGACTCAAAGCAATATTTTAGTTACATATCAAAATAAAATAATTCTTCCGCATTCTGTATTTCTGATGAAAATCAAAGATGATTGACCCCTAGATGATCTACTTCATAAAAACTTCACAAAAGAACCATTTGAAGAAAAGGAAGACTGGGGATAGGTTGCCTGTCAGCCAACTCAACTGCTTAATGAAGGAGTTACAAAAATTTACAACTTAGGTGAAAATTGTTAATGGACAAATACAACAAGGACTGTAGCAGTTCAAGAAGGTAGATCATCTCAACGTACCAAAGGAACTAAATCCTGGCCTTGCCAATGATGCCCACACCCCATGAACAAATTAAAATATGTCACATGTTTCCTGTAGAAACATGTTTCTGTTTCACATGCAGAACACAATTTACAATCCCAGTCAAAAGCAGTGGTTCAAATCATTCTTGCAACCCCTGGCACTCCCAGCTCAGGTAAATTCAAGACATTAGATTTGAAAACCACAATTAAATCTATATTAACTATGTCAGATAGTTGAAAGCTGTTAGTCTACCATCTCTGTGTAATGGATGAGTCACAGCAAGCATTATTTTAAAATAACCTACCAGTGCACGGGCTGGACTGGTGGAACGAGAGCGGGTTGGACTGGAACCTCTGCTTCGGCTTTTACTTGGTGACCACTGAGTAAATAAAAATGCAAAAGTAACCAATAAAGCTGGGGAGACTTTCACCCAATGTTCCCTATAGGGTGCGTACACATGCAGCCATGCAGCAGTTGAGAAACCCCGCATACAGTTAATCATACTCCATTGTATGACTTCTGCTGTGGTTTAGACACACCACACAGAACATTCAGGTGTCTGTGCAGGAACAACAATATGAGCGGGAACATTGCTTTTACCATAACATCGGAATAATTCAATTGTTTTATGGAAATGAAGTACAATCCTGTGAAAGCTCCCAGAAAATATTCATGCTAAAAGGTTTTTAATTGTATTATTACAGGAAGTATTTTTATTTAAAATAGTCACCAATTTTGTGGAAAGAAATATAACAAGGATTTTATATTTAAAAATAAATGAAATGGGCCTCCCTGAATCAAAATGCAAGCATGGAGTCTGCTTTGAATCCAGGACCTCCATTGCAATAATGGAGGCACTAACGTCAGGTCAGCTTTAAGACCTTCAGTGGAAAATATTTCAGTAGATCCTGTTAGCCACAGGTTTCCAAGCTGTTATCAGTATGAAACAATGCTCTGAAGCCAGCATAAATAATCCCAATGGATTCTGCCTTCTTTTTTCAGGTTCTCCAGGAATCTCCATGAAATCTTCCACTGGTTGTCTCTTAACCAAAAATTTCTGTGATCTATTGTTCCACAACTGGCTGTTCCTTGAATGTTTGTGGCATAACTGTCTTTTCTTTCCTTCTGCCCTTCGAAGAAGCCTGAGGTCAACATTCATGTTCAAGAGTTAGAATTCTTGGTTACGAAGTACTTACATGTTCTCCTGATAGGTACAAGTTATATTTAAAAGCAAAATACTGTGGATACTACAAATCTGCAACAAACGCAGAAAATGCTGGAGAAATTCAGCAGGTCCTGCTGCATCTTTGGAGAGGGGAACAGAGCGAACGTTTCGAGTCCAATAGGACTCTTGTTCAGAACTGGAGCAGTATAGGACGTGACAGTCAGTGCAAAGATCTTGGTGGGGTTGCTGGCTGGAGGGGACTGGAGATGCAGAGGGGTAAATCCATGGAGCGATTTGAAACGCAAGGGTCCGAATTATAACCCACAATCAGTTGTTTTTTTTAAACTATCTACATTTAGCTGTTCCTCAACACCTTGGCCAACTCACCAGAGCTCCTCTTTTCGTGAATGCTTCTCCCTTAGCAATGACTGTGTCATTTTCCATCAAGGCTGGCCAGATGTGATAAACCACAAGCGGAGCAGTGAAATCTGAGTCATAGCTGCGACGATACCTACAGGGATGGAAAAAAAATGTTTATTTACTTTAAAATTTTACATTCACTGAAGGTGCAGTCTGAATTATGCAAAAAATCTGTCTAACAATAAATCTGTGTAATAAACACTTGCGAAGGAATGGTACTCTTGTGTAAATATTTTCATTCTCTCTCTTGTTTCCATTAGAATGCAATGTGTTGAATGTTTTGCTGTAGTTTGGGTGTCAATCTTGATTCAGTTGTGGAGCTATCACCTCTGGGTCAGGCAGTTGTATATTCATACAAGTGATAGCTCAGAAACTGGAGCATGTAGCCTACATTGACACTGAAGTGAAGGACTAAATGCAGCTTACACTGTTGGGAGTCCTGATTTCTCATGCTGATTAGATGTTAGAACTACCATAGCATGATTTGAAAAACAGCAGGGCAACCACATTCCTCACGTCCTTCCATCATCGCTTGTGTCCTGGCTGTTTCCTATTCCTCAACCATCTCCACTAAAACTGATTGTTATGTAAAAACTGAGTGGTATATTTTCCTACATTACAGCACTGCATATTAGCAAAGTCCAAAGTTACTTCATTGGTTGTGGAGCAATTCGGGTTGTCCTGAGTTTGTGAAAGAACAATTCTTTCTTTTACATCCTCACTGCTTGTGGCTACAACAACAATTTTAAGAATCGAGAAGGAAACTGAAGTATGTTACTGTATTTGGGAAAAAGTTAAGTCAGCAGATGAGTTTCATGTACAGATCTAGGCAATTTTTAAAGCTAAAAGCCTTGCCAACAATATGACTTTTCACCATGCCCTTTAGTTTTATACAATTTTAATTTTAATTTGTTACATGTTTCACAATTTGTTCACATAAGTGGTAATTTACCAACTGTGCCTTGCAAAAAAATGCCAACACATTCTCTGTTAAATTCATAAATTTCCACTCGTTTCTGAGCGGATGAAAATGAACAATTTAAAGTAAAGGTTGTCAACTATTTTGTTCAATAGCAAGCAGAGTAAGGTAATAACTCGAGATTTTGATACACTTTAATGCTAAAAAGAGAATTACACAGATCAGGACTGGGCCACAATTATTTACAAGATAATATTAGTGATTTGGGTGATATATGCTATCACTAAGTTTGCAGATGACACAGAAGTACATACTTTGAAAGTACTGTGCCTTTAAGAGAGCTGTTCTGTGCTGTTTCTCTTGCAGAAGGATGTTGTCATTGTGGTACAAAAATGTCTCCTTCAGACAGATAGTTATAGAGTCATAGAGTAATACAGCGTGGAAACAGACCCTTCAGCCCAAACTGGTCCATGATGACCATGGTGCCCACTCAGCTAGTTCCAATTGCCCACATTTGGTCCATATCCCTCTAAACCCTTCCCATCCATGTGCCTATCCAAATGTTTTTTAAATGTAGCTATTGTACCTGCGTCAACCACTTTCTCTGGCAACCCATTCCATATATGCATCACTCTCTGCATGAAGGAGTTGCTTCTCAGGTCCATCTTAAATCTTTCCCCTCTCACCTTAAACCTCTAGTTTTCAATTCCCCATCCCTGGGAAAAAGACTATATGCATTCATCCTATCTATGCCCCTCATGATTTTATACACCTCAATAAGGTCACCCCTCATTCTCCTATGTTCCAAGGAATAAAATCCTATCCTGGCCAATCTCTCCCTATAACTCAGGCCTACTGGTCCAGGCAACATCCTCGTAAATCTTCTTGGCACACTTTCCTGTTTAACTATGTCTTTCCTATAACAGGGAGACCAAATTGTACACAATACTCCAAGTGTGGCCTCACCAACGACTTATACAAGTGTAACATAATGTCCCAGCCCCTATTCTCAATGCCTCGACCGATGAAGGCCAGCATGCTAAATGCCTGCTTCACCATCCTGTCTACCAGTTGGTAAACGGCTTTTGAGTTCTCCCTAGGTTTTGTTTTAAATAATGAGTGGGCGGGGTCAGGCTCACACAGACCCAAGGTGGTTTTTATTTTTGCTTGCGGTTAGGGAGAAGCTTTCTGCTGGCTGCTAGAATTACATCTTAGACAACGAGGCTTTCTCTTAAAAATCTAAAGGGGTAAATTGTTTCTTTCATCTGGACTGAAGAGAGACAGCACGTGAGAATCATAACTTCCATAAAGTTATGCCAATTCTTTCTTTTATTATATTTTAACTGTTATAAGAATAAAGTGTGTTTTGATTAAAGCATGGTGGTGGAGCATTCAAATCGTATCTGGAACACAGCGCCTTACACTTGCCTTTAAAAAATATAAAAGTAAGGATCTATGCTATCTCCATAATATACTTTAGGGGCTCTGGCCTGGTCCATAACAATGGGAAGACATGTGGTGAGGATGACAAAGTGTCTATAGAGGGATACGACAGGTTCAGTGAGTAGATGAAAACTTGGCAGATGGAATATAGTATGGGGAAATGTGCACTTTGGCAGGAAGGATAGAGGAGCTGAAAATTATTTAAATGAAGACAGCAAGAAGCTACAGCACAGAGGAATTTGGGGGTATTCTTGCATGAATGACAAAAGCTAGCATCCAAATTCAGCAGGTAATAGGGAAGACAAATGGAAAGTTAGCCTTTATTTCAAAGGGAATGGAGTGTAAAAATAGAAAGGTCTTGCTAAAACTATACAAGGCACCAGTTAGACCTTATCCAGAATTCTGTAAACAGTTTTGATCCCTTTATTGAAGGAAAGATATAGTGGCATTGAATGTAGTTCAGAGAAGGTTCACCAGGTTGAATCTGTCTTATAAGGAGAGGTTAAGTAGGTTGGGTTTGTACTCAGTGGCTCATTGAAGTTTAGAAGAATGAGTGGATAACTTATTGAAACATATGAGGGTCTTAACGGGGTAGGTTGTTTCCTCTTGTGGGAGTGTAGAACCAGACAGCACAATCTCAGGGGAAGGGGTTACTTATTTCAGACAGAAATGAGCAGGAATTTCTATCTGTCAGAGGGCAGTGAATCAGGAATTCTTTGCACCACGGAAGGCTGTGGAAGCTGCTTGGCTAAAATTATTCGGGGCTGAGAAAATAGATTTTTAATTGGTAAGGGAATCAAGGGTTACAGTGCTAAGTCGAGAAAGCAGAGTTGAGGATTATCAGATCACCCATGGTCTCAGATGAATGGGTCAAATGGCCTGCTTTGGCACCTATGCTTTATAGGATTACAACAATTACAAATTACAATGGGAATCCGATAAAAAAATCCCAGAAGGTTACAGAAATGCATGGCATGTTAATATCTTAATGAGAAAGGGAAAGATTTGATGTAAGGCCAAGAATTTAACTTTATCTTTCAGGTGTTGACCATGAATTTCTAGCAGTTTTTTCTGAGCTTTTATTTTCAATTTGGTCTTGAAGTTGTAGAGCAAGAACAACGAGATACTGGATTCCGTCTTTACCATTTTATATGGCAGGTGTTAATTAATTCAACTTTGGAATGATGCTCATGAATTGTCATTAATGAAAAGACTAAGCCAGGAAACTTTGGGACTTTGCCTGCTGGTTTACTTTGTAATGTGCAGCAGAAACCCCTTTTCTGTAAGAAATAGTAAGTAAAGGAGTTCAGATAAGCATGAGCTGAGATCTATTTGAATAATCAAACAGGCTCAAATAGCTAAATGGTCTGCCTATGGTATAAAAGGAACCAGTGACAAATTATAGAATAATATTGCACAAATAGCTTTTTACCCCGTAAAGACTTGAGGACTAATATCATCATGTATGAAAAGCACATGGTACATTACAGTAACAATTTTGAAAGTGGACCCATAATCCATGGCTTGGACCTAATTGAGAAACTCCATAAGCTTAAATAGCCTACTCTTGTTCCTACACTCTGGAAGTGGATCCCTTGTTTAAGGCTCCTATCAATTCTCTGCAAGGCAGGTTTCCTTGTAGTTAGCCAACAGGCCTTCAGGCCAGCTGTCCATCAGACTGCAATCTGAAGTATAACATGTGACGCTGTAACTACTGATGTTAAAAAAGGACTGAAACAGCTAGGGTTTCTTCTCTAGGAAATCAAAGGCTATGGTATCACGTGACAGATCTTCTGGGAATTTCCAAATTAGCCAGATATGTGATTGTCATTAATAAATCCAGAAGCAATTCAGGAGATACACAAGCCATGCAATTCAATAAAAATAACAATAATTTATAGAGCAGTGGATGCTGTCTACATGGATTTTAGTAAGGCTTTCAACAAGGTCCCTCATGATAGGCTCAGCCAGAAGATTAAGATCCATGGGATCCAGCAGTGACTTGGCCATGTGGATTCAGAATTGGCTTGCCCCTAGAAGGTAGAGGGTGGTGGTGAAAGATGTTTTTCTGGCTGGAGGTCCGTGACTAGTGGTGTTCCACAGGGATCCATACTAGGTCCTCTGCTGTTTGTGATATATATATAAATGACCTGGATGAAAATGTAGATGGGTCAGTGGAGTTGTTGATAGTGCAGAAGCTTGTCAAAGCATACAGCACGATATAGATCAGCTGCAGATATGGGCAGAGAAATGGCACATGGAGTTTAATCCAGGTAAGTGTGAGGTGCTGCACTTTGGGGGATCAAATGTTAAGGAAAATATACAGTTAGTGGCAGGAGTCCGAACAGCATTGATGTACAGAGGGATCTTGGGTTTCAAAGTCCATAGCTCCCTGAAAATAGCTACACAAGTAGATAGGGTGGTAAAGAAGGCGTATGGCATGCTTGCCTTTATTGGCTGGGAAATTGAGTACAAGAGTCAGGATGTCGTGTTGCAGCTTTATAAGACTTTGGTTAGGCTACACATACAGTATGCGTTCAATTCTGTTCACAACATTACAGAAAGGATGTGGAGGCTTTGGAGAGGGTGTAGAAGAGGTTTACCAGGATGCTGCCTGGATTGGAGGGTATGAGCTATTAGGAAATTCTAGAAAAACTTGTGTTGTGTTCTCCGGAGCAGCGGATGCTGAGGAGAGACTTGATAGAAGTCTATAAAATTATGAGATGCATAGATAGGGTTGACAGTCAGAATCTTTATCCCCCCCAGAGTTGAAATGTCTAATATTAGGGGGCATGCATTTAAGGTGAGAGGGGGAAAGTTCAAGAAGATGTGAGGGGCAAGTTTTTTTTTACACAGAGAGTGATAGGAGTCTGGAACACGCTGCCAGGGGTGGTGGTGGAGGCAGATACGATAGGGGCATTTAAGGGACTTTTAGGTAAGCACGTGAATATGCAAGGAATGGAGGGATATAGTCCAAGGGCAGGCAGAAGGGATTAGTTTAATTTGGCATCATGCTCAGCACAACTTCGTTGGCAGAAAAGCCCGTTCCTGTGCTGTACAGTTCTATGTTCTATGCTAACAGTTATATAGTACATCTAATTTAGTATAATGTCCCAGGAAGATTTGCATTTATTTTATTTTCTATTCTACTGTAATTTGTGATGGTAAAATATTCTAAAAAGATCAGAAGGTTAACTTAAATTTTAGTTAACAAGGTGTAGAGCTGGATGAACACAGCAGGCCAAGCAGCATCAGAGGAGCAGGAAGGCTGACATTTCAGGCCTAGACCCT